CTACAGTAATTACCGTATAGGCGCGACATAACGCGTGATGGTACCAATCGATAATCCGCCCCTTTTCAGAGTACATTACCGGCACATTTTGACGATTGCGATCTCGTTCCGATGGATTTTTCCTCGTCCACGTATCCTCGTCTACTGCCGCAACATGACCGTAGCGCCCAAAAGTTGGTGCGACACGGTAGCGAGTTGGACAACAGCATTGGTAAGCGTACCAATCAATAACAATCGATTAATCGACTATCGGTCAATGCATTTTTGGTAATCTAGAGACTTTACAGCATCCATAGCTGACTACAATCGTGCTCAAACATGGTTCCATCAAGGTATGGATTCAGCAAAAGCCGAAAGATTATTACGCAGTTCTGGATGTGAGGAAGGGTGCGTTACATAAACAATTACAGTAACCCAGTGCTGTGCCTTCCACCCTAGCCTCTCAATCGATAATCGATTTTTCAGATCGTTCGTGATCTCGCAACAATCCACGCAATATGTGCTATCATTTGTACATTGCGCCACGATTCACCATATCCGTGTCGGATATTCTGTCAAAGAAAACGGAGAGGCAAAATTCCGCTTAGATATCGATCGAAGTTTCAAGTAAGTAATACGGTATCCTGCTCCCCATTCAGAACATTTAATCAATATATTGATTTTCCAGGAATCTTCACGATCTTGTCGCTTATTACACGAAACATAAGGCTTTTGTTCTACCGATGAAACTACGACATGGTGTAGCCCGACCGCTTCGCAGACCCCACACGCGAACGCGAGCTTGATAATGCATCCCTTTGGGACGTTTTGGCATGATCACTCTGTTATTGATGACTTGATGTGCAGATCTGGCCATGCTACCTACCTGGTGTCTAATAAGCAATATTTGTACTGATGATCTTCTTTTATTACAGTACAATAATTGTACATATATACGTGTATTTGAGTGTATTGCGTGTACGTGTGTGTATGTCTGTATTTGTACGTGAAGAAGAACTTCTCAGATTCCCCAGATTATCAACCACATGCGGGATACTGTAGAATTCTACTGTAGATCAGATATGTCAGATTATAATGGTTTATTTGTTGTACTGCATGCATATTATGGCAATAATTTTGTGTGTACATAATAATGAATCGATGAAAGAACCTAGCCGCAATCAATCAATAATAAATAATAAATCAATAATTTAATAATAACCCGGTGTTAGCTGCTGTTGTCGCACAGGGATGAACAAGGGACAGGGATGGAGGATACCGTACTAGACGCGTCGAAGACGCCTTGCTCGCATGCCACTTGATGAGGCAATACATTCGGCTAGCGATCTACCGAATTCACAGTTGAACCTGAAAAATTTCACAAGAATACTGGGTTACGAACAAAATTTTTGCCCCAGGTGGGGCTCGAACCCGCACAGTCAACAAACAAAACATCAGTAGTGTACTGAAAATCCTGCTTGGTTTGTGATAAAAATTGAGGTGAAATTAGCGGGTTACGAAACCCGAGTTTTGAGCCCTATAATGAGCGCGAGTTT